TGATTATATACTTACAAAACTTAGTCTCTTGAACCTAAAAGTCACTTTGAGAAAGCTTGTTATAAGCTCTAGGCACATCTGCCTCAAAGTGTTGGGCAATCCCAGGCACAGCTACAGGTTGGGCAGAGAAGAGATTCAGAGCAGCCCTGCGGAGAAGGACTTGGGGGTGTTGGTAGATGAGATGCTTAACATGAGCCAGCTTCAGTGTGCACTCACAGCTCAGAAAGCCAACCGTATCCTGGGCTGCATCAAAAGGAGTGTGACCAGCAGGTCGAAGGAGCTGATCCTGCCCCTCTACTCTGCTCTTGTGAGACCTCACCTGGAGTATTGTGTGCAGTTCTGGTGTCCTCAACATAAAAAGGACATGGAACTGTTGGAACAAGTCCAGAGGAGGGTCACGAGGATGATCAGGGGACTGGAGCACCTCCCGTATGAAGAGAGGCTGAGGAAGTTGGGGCTGTTCAGCCTGGAGAAGAGAAGGCTGCTTGGAGACCTCATAGCAGCCTTCCAGTATCTGAAGGGGGCCTGTAAGGTTGCTGGGGAGGGACTCTTCATTAGAGACTGTAGTGACAGGACAAGGGGTAACGGGTTAAAACTTAAACAGGGGAAGTTTAGGTTGTATATAAGGAAGAAATTCTTTCCTGCTATGGTGGTGAGGCACTGGAATGGGTTGCCCAGGGAGGTCGTGAATGCTTCATCCCTGGTGGTGTTCAAGGCCAGGCTGGACAGAGCCTTGGGTGAGGTGGTTTAGTGTGAGGTGTCCCTGCCCATGGCAGGGGGTTTGGAACTAGATGATCTTAAGGTCCTTTCCAACCCTAACTATTCTGTGATTCTAAGTTAGAGTCCCGACTCACTTTACTGCTGACTGTACCAAAATGGGTATTAATTAATAGTCATTAGCAGGAACATTACTAGATGTATATGTTGGAGTATACGGGGTGATGTTTTTTGAAGTACCTAAATCCTGGTAGTAGTGGGCACAGATGTACTAAACTTTACTTATAATTTGAGCAACATAATGATTGCTGCCAAACTCTGGACTTTGTCCCATTGAGGGTCTGTGCAACAGAAAGATTATTTGCTTTTAGAAATGGGGACTAGCTTCCTATAATGAGTACTGCATATCCTGTGAGAGGCTAAGTCAGTTCGACCCCTCTAGAAATTATCATCAAGGTGCCACCTCTGTTAGAGAGTCCATGGACAGGATGGGATGTACTCAACAGGATGGTTTTGCATTGCTCACAGATTCTTTGCTGTTTAAATATGCTGATCCCTCAGCACGTTTCTTTCAGCAGGTGGAAGAGGATGGACTCTGTGCAGAATATTCTGGGAGGTTTTGTGGCTCTAGCATACCAAAAAAAAAGAAGTCAAAGTCTCATGAGGCATCTTACTGTCAGGCTACTCCACATTAGCTGTGTAGCAACCTGTCAAAATTAGGCATCCTAGAGTCTAACAGAATAATGCTCTCTGACCTTTGCACAGTGTGCTTAGAGAATATCAATCTTGGATCTGATCAGCATGTCACAGCAATCTAAAGAAAATACTATGCGTAGTGATGGACTTCAGAACTGATTTTACAGAAGCAGAGATAATTCATGCTTCCTGAGCCATCTGATGGCCACAGATAACCAGCCTAGGTGGAAAGGTTTTCCTTTGATGGATTTTCAAAATACAGAAATCTGCTATCAGTTATCCTTCTGCTTTTCTTTTTGTTTTCTTAATCCTTGGTATATACTCTGAAGAACAAGTGGCAGTGCACAGATCATTGCTTTGGAAAGTATGAAAAATTTACCTGTTTTGACATTACATCCACATGAGACACTGTAGGACTGCCATCTTCTAAGACATTTCTTATAAGCAGTTGGGGAACTTAAAGGTAGAAGGGTCCAATCCTTGCTCTTGTGGTTGAATAGGAATAATTTCTGCAGGCAGTGGTTTCTTGTATGAGCAAAGATTTCAAGTAAGAAATTTAAACCTACTAGATGGAATAAACCCAACTGGTTGGGATTCAGTTTTAATCTTTCACTGGTCTCCTTGGCATATGTGTGGTTTGCCATCTGCAGCTTCTGCTGTGTTAAGCTTCTGCTTCAGCAGATACAAGATCCATTTCTCTTCTTAATTGTTAAATATAATTTAAATTATTTCAGTCCCTTTTATAAAGATAGCAATAGTTTTGATACTTTTGCAGTCTGGCATTAAAAAAAAACACTACGTAATATGTTACGTTAGCTTTCAAGCAGGTTCTAGAGCTATTAGGAAAGGCAGAATTTGTAATTTTATTTTTTACTATTTCTTGTGTATTTAATAGTGCAAGGGGAAAATAAATAAAAAGGTGGTTGGCCTTGAATGCAGAGCCTGACACAAAACAACAATAGAAGCAGTTTTTCTTTGCAAATACAATTTTACAAAAGTGAAAAAAAGAAGGTACATCAAGCAGAAGTGCTGAAAATACCTGTTCATAAACAAAGATCAAGTGCTGATCTTAATTCTTTTCTTTCTTCATCTGGGCTAAGCCTTCCATTCCTCTCGGAAAAAGGTGGAGGACACACAGAAGAGAAACAGTTCAGGAAACTATCGGAGTCCAGCGGTACTGCATAGCTCTAGTCCCTGCACCGAAGGCTTTGAAGATAAAAAGCAGGGGGTCTGTTAGGCAGAACCACTGGCTAATCTCCTCCAAAGTGCAGAACTAAAGGAGGAAGAATGGACCACCACTGGTTCTTTCCTCTCTCAAAGCTGCAGAGGGTTTCTTTTCCATGGGTAACTACTGAAAAAATCCTGGCTACTCAGGTTTGCCATCAAGGGAAACTTCATGATTTCATGATTGATTTGGGGAGAGATCTTTGCCTCAAAGTGGCACTTTATAAAAGTGATAAGGATATAAAAATTGGAAATCAAAATAATCCTCTATTGGTTTGCTTTTTCAGTGTGTCAAGACTTATTTTTGTTCGACACCTTGGGGGTGTTCTAGCAGTGGCGAACATCAGGGGCGGTGGTGAATACGGAGAGACCTGGCACAAAGGTAAATCAGTCCAAACAGAGGAAAAAAACTGCAGCCTAAGCAATGAAAATTACAACATTTTCTCTTTTTTTTTTTTTTTTATTTCTTCTGTGTTACATCTCTACATTGTCTAGTGTTAGTTGATGGTTTTCTTCAGATTGTTTTAATTTTTATAACCTACTGAAAAATGGTTTTGCACAGACACGATACTTTCCAAGGAAATTATTGCGTTTTTTAAAGCAAAGTCATGTTCCCTATACCTAAGGATTTGAAAATGCAGCGATTTACCTTGAATTGATTTAAAAAAAAAACCTGTTTGTCTATACTGCAGGAGGCCTGGATTGCTTTCACATACCTCTCTCATTATTTGCAGTTGCACGTGGCCCCACAATTCAACAGTAACTATTTGGACTCCTTTTGGTACCACACAAAAAAAAATCCCTATTTCCAGAACCTGACAGAATATGTGAACTTGTGAGTTCAGAATGTAATTCTTCTATGCTGTTTTTGCACAATTTATGAACAGAACCTTTTGTTATTTTTAGTGAACATTATCGGAAAAATTTCTGCACTGAAAGGGTTGTCAAGCACTGGAACAGGCTGCCCAGGGCAGTGGTTGAGTCACTATCCCTTGAGGGATTTAAAAAACATATAGATGTGGGACATGGGAGCATGGTTTAGTGCTGGACTTAGCAGTGTTAAGTTAAAGGTTGGACTCAAAGGTCTTTGCCAACCTAAACAATTCTATGATTCTGTGATAGAGGTTCATATGAAAACAATCGGCTCTACACGTGCAGTAACATGCCATACCCTCCACACTCTCTTAGGGAGTCAAACTTCTTGTAGTCAGGCAGGTTTTTAAAGCTGATTTTAATGTCACAGGGAAACCAAATCACTCACTATAAAACCCTTTTGATCTCTTTTCCCTTTTTCTTAATACCTTTGATGTGTTTCTTTCCATGTTTTTCCAGTCTAATCACTGTCTTAATCCTGTGATTGTCCACCTTCCTTATTGTTGACAGTTTAGTGCATCACTTTCCCAGAGGAAAAAGATGGGAAAAGTCTTACTCATCTCTGTAACATACCCATAATTATTTAGTGGTGATGCCTCATTCATATCCCAAGAATCTGGGAGATAAGTTGCTGGAGATGTTGTCAGCAAGGCAAATGCACCAAAATGCACAGTGGTGTTTATGATGCAGCAATTTGCTATGGGACTAATCCATAATAACTTTTTATGAAACAAAATAGTATTCCCAGATCATTACATCTTGGTTTTACTATTTCATGTGTGGTAACTTTTTGTCTGGGTCATTTCCTTACAATTGAGTTAAATATGTAATAGTTTCATAAATAGAAGCTATATATGCTTGCAGATACAGGATATTATTGCTAAAGATGAAGTATCCTTCATTAATTTTAATTTTCTGATTGGTTTGTAATAGGTTTTAATAAAATTTATTGTAATATGATAATGCTTCTTTGGTCCACCTATTTCCTGCTTAATTTTGACCCAAGTCTTTTGTTGCAGTTGCATAATAAGAGATGTATCTGGGTTTTGTTAACTCCAGAAGTCTGTTTACTTAGGTTTAATGGCATAGGTAGGATTTTTACCTAACACCAAACCAGAACTTTGAGTAAAGAGTAAGATTTATTTCCTCTTTATTGCCACACATTTGAAGATTACTTTGTGATTTGTATGACCAGGTATCAGAGTTACCTTACCAAAGCTTTGCAACATAGAAATGAAGCATCCAGTGTGAATAGGGTGTCTAGGGTCACTGGATGAACAATGGAGATAGACAAACCTCCAGATTATAGCTCAGCTGACTTATTTAAGAGTAGAATTAATTGTCCCACAGGTTCCTGGGTGACACTGGGAACCTCAGCTTCGAATAAACATCCAGCTTTTAAAGTAGAAGGAACTGGAGTTCCCTTTCTGCATCCACTGAGCTCCTCTTACCTGCCTGGACCACAGCCTTTGCTATAGGCATATGAGGAAATTCTTCCTAGTTCCTATTTCTTACTAGCATATAATTGCCTCAGAAAGAAGACAACACGTCTTAAGATAGGATAACCTTCAAGGAGAAGCCAGTTTTATATCTTGCCAAACAGGCATCTAAAATGGGAAGATCGTGAAATCTGATCAACTGTGTGTTGTGGGTTGATAATCTTCTGCTCAAATAGCTGAAAGATTGTAGGGGAAACCATGCTTTTCCTTTCACATCCCTCCATGCAAAATTTTTTGGTTTGAGAACTGAATGATATCCGATGATATCATTTGGACCTACATTTTCAGTCATGATTTATTGCTCATACGTCTCGTCATGTTTGGAATTCTATTTAACAGGATGGCAGCATCTTAAGCATTTCCATATTGGTAGTTAATAAAATTTCAAACCAAGATGCAATTCCGAAGTCCCTGTTTGATCATAGCTATATATCATCTGATTAGAAAGCAACTAATCAAAAAATAATTGTCAGCCACATATTCTGTGCCCAGGAAATTAGAAGTGCTTATTTTATATAGCTTATTTTATAAGCTGAGGCTTTACTGCCATAAGAAACTGTCACTGAATTTAACGCTGTTAAAGTCCCATTAAATCAAGCCTCAAGTGGATTGTATGTGGTCATTTTGTATATGTTTTGCAATGCAAAGCTTTTAGCTTTAATTAGAAGCATTACCTGGCACTCATTCCACAGTATAGGTATGTATTATTCAGTTTCTGAAAGTATTAGTGGTATTGACAGAACCATCTTATACCCTCTCTTTGTTGAAAGAATCTTTCATTTTTGCTGTCTTTCTGAGCTGCATCAATTATTAAAATGTTCATGAAACTGGAATTGTTCCCAGGTATTTTTGCATGCATGTTTCTCTGAAGAGGTGGTATCAAATGGATTTTATGGTATCAACTAGTTTGTTTTATTTGTGTGCTAGGTGGTATCTTGGCCAACAAACAAAATTGCTTTGATGACTTTCAGTGTGCTGCCAAATACCTCATCAAGGAAGGCTACACATCCCCAAAGAAGTTGACTATTAATGGAGGCTCAAATGGGGGCCTATTAGTTGGTAAGAACTGATTGTGTATTTCCTGGGTTTGGTACTGGGTTTATCAAAGTAACCACACAAAAATCTACCAGATCCTCTTTTCAGAAATTGCCAGAATATCAGTGCATTTGTCTATACCAGGTGTAAACACATACAGTTGTACTTCATTTGGTGTTTGCATAGGACACTGGGATTCTGCAATCTATAGCAAAGGCTGAGTGTTAAAAGCCATACTTAAAATTACTGTCTTGTGCGGTAGAGCTAACCCTGTGGTAGAATAACACAATAAGTAAGAATGCTTAAAAAACATTTGGGTTTTTTTTTAGTTTTTTCTTTCTTAAGGCTAACTATTACAAAATAATTACTGAGTAACCAGAAATCTGTAATGTAGAATCAGGAACTTTGTGTTATCTGTAGCATAAGCCAGAAACCCATGTCCTGTGATCCTTCAGCAGAGTTTCTTACTCATTCTTTCTGTGGTCATAAATTCTTGTTCTTAGAGGGCAAATGAAAACATGACAGTTCTGTGATTAAAGCCTTAAACAGGGACATGTAACAATCTGGCTCTGCTTTCATTGTATAGTTAAAACATGCCCACAAATAAAATCATTAATGTCTCTGGTGAGACATGTAAAATACAAGTACAGCTACCTGAAGAAGTCATGAGCTTTTGAGGAACTGTCAGTTGTAGCACTTTGTTATAAATGCATCTTTTTCACATGTAATTCACTACCATGTTCTTTAATCCAAGGAAATTAATAGTCTCCTCTTAAACAGAAAAATGTCTCACAGTCTAAGCAATATTTAAAGAACTACAAAATGAGTTTCTCTTAAATCCCTCAGTCTGAAAGTAGTGGAAGAAAAAGGGAGATTTTATTCCATTTTGAAAGGAGAAGGGAACACAAATGAGTAATACTGTGGTTTGTATTTTTTTAATAGCGTGAAACGCATGTGACAGTATGACAGAATTGAGCTACTCGTGAGAAGAAAAAAAAAGGCATTTCAAGTCCGTAAATGACTTGATTTATAGAAAATGAGGAGACTTACTAGGCCCACTCTTTGCTTGCTCTTCTTTTTATACTCCTTCCTATTTATCTGCCACTGAATACTGGCTCTATTTATTTGATTTTATTTTTCAGTGAAGTAGCATCCCGCATAAGAAGCAGGATTTGGAGTCATACAGATATTTGATCTAAGTCATCTTGGCTATTCCTGCATTCTTATTTTTAAAATAGCAAGTATATGTAAAGTGGAATTTTTGATTTCTGCTTATATACTACTTGGTTAGACGTGGCAGGAGTTATTTGTGCATTCTAAATAGGAGCACCAGTAGAAATGAATGCTATGGTAACAGATTAAAGGGTTTGCACACCATTGCACAAGTCTATTTTATGTGAGTGTAAATATATAATTGGAAATGCAGTTAAACTTCCAACATTTTACATAGCTTCCAAAAACACTGTCTTCTGGTTATATGGACTTTGTTTCACTCAGGATGAGATTCATCCTAGCCATCTTTAGTCACCAAAACCCCTGTGTTTCTGGCTGAACAAGTCAGCTGGGCTCCTTAGTTAGGTAAGGGGAGGCAAGTGACATCTGCAGAGTGTACTTCATTCCAGTAGGAGGCAGGTGTTAGTAATCTAGACCTCCCTGCTCTGAAAATTCTGTTTTTAGAAACCTCTTTTACTCGTAGATGGATTACAATCCATGTATTTCCATGCATTTGATGAGCCAGAAAGGGATTTTCCTAGACTGGGTAGAATTAGGTGAATTTAATAAATTCTTGTAAGTGGTTTTTCATCAAAGCAGAACTAAATTTTGCAATAGTTGTTCATGCAGCACTAGGGAGCATAACTCCTGCTTTAGGTGGAAGGACCCACTCCCAGATTTTCTCAGTTCTCATTTACTGAAAGAAAAAGTGACAAGGAAGAAAGACTATTGTCACTCTCCCAAAATACCGTTTCCTTTTAGTCAGACTAACAGGAGGTGTCTCTGAGGAATGCAGAGCCTTCAGCTCTTGCTTCATTCAACTGCAAAACAAGACTTCTTTGTCCTGCAGTGTGATCCCCAAGCTGAGTAGTGCCACAGCTGTGAGCTAAAAACCTCTTTCATGCAAATGCAGTTTGACCTCTGATGTTTGCTTAGACAAACAGATCTGAGGTTTTGAAATCTTAGTTTTGTACTGAATTTTAAAGCTCCAAGTAAATGTAGGGAAGTAAAATTCACAAATTTCTGTTCCAGGTTACAGTTTATTAATGCATATAACTAAGTATGATGGCTAATTAAGGAGTGTAGTGGAAATGGATGAGTGTCTCCATAAATGATTTCTTACTGAAATAACTAGTTAGGGAACTAGGAGCAGCAATTTTTTATGAAATCCTGAGCAACACACAGTGCTTCAAGAGACACTCTGCAATAAAGAGTGCTAAAATGAAACATTATACAGTAGTTGTTTTGGCTTTTTTTTCCTACCAGAATATAATTTATGTTCATAAAAGGAAATAACAGGAAGGAGAGGGATATGATCAAAAGTACTTTTGAGAGTTTTTACACGGCAGCCATTTAAGGTGCCATATATATCTTTCAAAAATCGCTCAGAAAGGAACCAGAAAGAGTTAGCATAGCTTCATAACAGAGATGACCAGAAGTAAAATCGCATCCTTCAGAAAACAGAAATCACGTTCAAAAGTAGAAAATGGGGTAGAGCATAAACCCTGAGAGAGATTGATGGACTACAGGAGACTAATGAGCAAATTGCTTCCATTATAAACATTAGCAATGAAAGCTTTCTATGTACATCAGAAGCAGGAAGCTGGCCAGAGGATCTGTGGAGCATATACATCAAGTGAGGTGTAAAAGGAGTACTAGAGGAAAGATAGTGACAGAGCAGAAAAACTAAATTGTGTGTTTATATTGATGTTCCCTCCTGAGGAGCTGGGGGAGTTCCCTGCACCAGAGTCTTTCCTCATGGGGAACACTGAGGAGCTGATTCAAGCTGAAGCAACAGCGGAAGAGATTTTGGAGTAAATCAATCACATGAAAAGTAGTGAGTTGCCAGGACCAGATGGTGAACACTCAAGATCCAAGTGAGCTCTGATACGAAATTGCAGACTACTAAGCCTGAATATCTGAGGAACAGAAGGGGGCAAGTTTAATGCCAATTTTTAAATGGTTCATGGTGATCCACAAGCTGCACATGAGTAAAGCTGCCTTTTCTAATAGGCTAACCAGCTGAAACCAGTAAGTAATAGCTGGCAAGTGAGGAAGAATTTAGCAGGCTGGAGTTACATCTTGCAAATCTATTAGAGCTATTGGAAGGAGCTGTCAGACAGTGTATTTTAACAGTGATCTTGGGGAGGAGTTATTCTTGGATTTTCAAAAGCTTCTGACAAGATCCCTTGCATAAGGTTGTGCAAGAAAGTTCTTGCTGAGCAAAAAACAAGGTCGTGTCATAACAATATCCTGGTTAGCAGGAGGCAAAGAATGGGAATAAATGATCCATTTTCACAATGGATGAAAATGAGGAGAGAGATAGAATAATTTGGGAAAGACTGTGCCTACATGTGGATGTACAGTGATTAGCTCTGAATAAAGACAAGGATTCTGGGATCCATTGTAGTAGGTATGTGAAGATTCCAGTGCTCTTACTTCTTAAAATTCAAAAAAAGCAGAAGAATTTGTAAAATAACCAGACAACAGATTAAAATCAAGCAATAGAGACTGGAATTGAAGAACAGTGGTAGGAGACATTACTGTGGGGATCTGTAACAGACTGCCTGATCAAGAGGTATCTGTGGATGAAGCACTCTACAGACAGATAGGAACAGCCTCATGTTCGCAGGCCCTTGTTCTCATGGGGGACTTCAACCACCCTCATATCTGTTGGTGGGACGATTCCTCGATTGTGTGGAAGACAACTTCTTCCTGCAAGTAATAGAGGAGCCGACAAGGAGAGGTGCCGTGCTTGACCTTGTGCTCACCAACAGGGAAGGGCTCGTTGGAAATGTGATGCTCCAGGGCAGCCTTGGATGCAGCGATCATGAGATGGTCAAATTCAAGATCCTCAAGAC